ACTCTCGTTTCGTTGACAGGAAAAGCATGCCTCTCAAAACAATTTTTATCTCTCAATTTAAGCTATGAGCTCTGGCACCTCTACAAATCTCTCCTTCCCTCTGCGAAGGGCCTGTCTATTTACTTTTATGCAATTTTCATTTTTATTGAGTCTTCATCTTCTCTTATAAAGCACCAACCAGGGAACACTATTGTCATACTTGTGTATTGGATGTAGTTAATATTTGAGTGTGTTTCATGAATGGATCAATGATTGAGCATAATGGGCTAGGGATAACTTTCTTTAGCGTTGATATTTTGAAAGACATAGTTGTTTGTTGATATGCTTGAGTATTGATGTTTCCATGTCCAATTTATAGACTATTGCTTTGAATCATTCAAGTCCAAATGTCCATGCTACAAAGAAAAGAATATATGATGAATATGTTAGATAGCATTCCACATCAAAAAAATTGTTTTTATCATTTACCTACTTGAGGACGAGCAGGAGTTAAGATTGGGGATGCTTGATACGTCTCTAATCGTATTTATTGTTCCATGCTATTGTATTATCAATCTTGAATGTTTTATATACATTTACAAGCAACTTTATATCGGTTTTTGGGACTAACCTATTGACTTAGTGCCCGGTGCCAGTTGTTGTTTTTTGCTTGTTTTTTACTTTGCAGAATATTAATACCAAACAAAGTCCAAATGCAATGAAACTTTTTGGAGATTTTTTTTCTGGATAAGAGATCCTAGAAGCTTCTGGGGGGCATAAGAAGAGTCATGTGGGGCCCACTAGGCACCAGGGCGTGCCAGGGGCCTTTGGCACGCCCTGGTGGTAGTGGGCCCCATGGGCACTGTCTTGACCTCCTCCGCCTCTATAAATACTCTAAAATCCCAAAAATCCTAGGGAAGTCCACGAAATACTTTTTCCGCCATCGCAAGTTCTAGAACCACGAGATCTAATCTAGAGGCCTTTTCTGGCACTCTGTCGGAGGGGGAAACGATCATGGAGGGGTTCTTCATCATCCTTGCTGCCTCTCTAATGATGCGTGAGTGTTTTACCACAGACCTACGGGTCTGTAGTTAGTAGCTAGATGGCTTCTTCTCTCTTTTTGATCTTCAATACAATGTTCTCCTCGGTGTTCTTGGAGATCTATTTGATGTAATGACTTTTTGCAGTGTGTTTATTGGGATCCGATGAATTATGAGTTTATGACCAAATCTGTCCATGAATATTATTTGAGTTTTCTCTGAACTCTTTTATGCATGATTGTTATAGCCTCATATTTTTCTTCGATTTGTTGATTTAGTATGGCCAACTAGATTGATTTTTCTTGCCATGGGAAGAGATGTTTTGTGATGGGTGCGATCTTGCGGTGCTCAAACTTGGTGACAGAAAGAGACATGCACACATGTATCGTTTCTATTAAGGGTAACAAGATGGGGTTTATTTACACGTGAGTTTATCTTGTCTACATCATGTCATCTTGCTTAAGGCATTACTTCGTTCTTTCATGAACTTAATACACTAGATGCATGCTGGATAACGGTCGATGTGTGGAGTAATAGTAGTAGATGCAGGCAGGAGCCGCTCTACTAATCTTGGACGTGATGCCTATATACGTGATCATTGCCTTGGATATCGTCATAATTATTTTCTTTTCTATCAATTGCCCAACAGTAATTTGTTTACCCACCGTATGCTATTTTCTCGAGAGAAACCTCTAGTGAAAACTACGGCCCCGAGGTCTATTTTCTATCATATATTAAAACCAAAAATACCTTGCTGAAATTTTCTTTTATTTATTTCATTTTATATTTTTTAGATCTATTTACCAAAACCTATACAATTTAATCTTGCCCAATACCGTTGAGGGATTGACAACCCCTCTATGCATTGGGTTGCAAGTATTTGTTGTTTGCGTGAAGGTGCTGTTTACATAGCGTTGCTTGGTTCTCCTACTGAATTGATAAGCTTGGTTTCATATCTGATGAAAATACTTATATCTACTATACTGCATCACCCTCTCCTCTTTAGGGAGATCCCAATGCAGCTCAGAAGTAGCAATACGACGGCAGAGGAAATCTGCTCCTACCATCTCGATGGTGAGTCCGGCGGCACTGAGGCGAAGGATGCGAGTTGTGGCGATTGTGAGCTTCTCGTCGTTTAAGTCAAGGGAGCCCCAATCCCTGCTACGCTCCACCTTCTTCATCCTTAGTCTGCAGAAGTCTGGGAACTCAACATCTTTAATCCAACACCATTCTGCTCGCCATTCGTTCTGCGCCAAATGTAGTTGGCCATCAAGGTAGGCCTCCTTGGCGCAGGCCCTGGGAGACAAGTAATGCCGCCAGAAGGAGCATCTACTTCAATATGTGGGACAAAGTAGTGGCGGAAGAAAGCAACATTGGGCGCTACTCCAACAAAATTTTCGCACATGTGTGCAAACACAGACATACAAGTCATGCCATTCGGGGTGAAGTCAAGAAGATGGAACTCGTATGTGCACATGATCTTGGAGAAGAAGTCGGAAAAAGGGGGGCAAGCCCGCAATAAGAGTATGCGGTGAAGAAGGGATACTTTTCTCCACTATACTTGGCAAAGCCGGGAAGAACTTGTGGCGTGGGGTGGGACATCGTTTCCCTCCCCCGCATGAACGCGTACAGCTCTACGAGATCCTCCTGCTTCAGCACCGGCGAATAGACGATGTTGTTCCTCCACAACGCCGTCATCTCCACCTTCTTCTCCTCTTCTTCCGGGTCAGCTAGCTTCTTAGCTTTGCCTTGGCCTCTTTTGGGGGGCCATGACGGCTGCTGAGGAAGTGGGTTTGGTGAGGGACAGCGGCACGGTGGAGCGGCGGCAAAAGGAGCAAAGTGCATGTTCCAATATCCTTGTCGACCTATGAGGTTCTAAGACAAGGATAATATAATAGCATGAATTGCGCAAGGAAGAAGACAAAGGAGGCGAATGCTAGATTGGGAAAGAAAGGGGGTACATGAGCGGGGCCTCTCGCGGTTCCCTTTTTATGGGGAAGGTGCGGTGGCTGGCTCTTTACCGTCCTACGTGGTTGCGCTTTTCAGGCACACTACCCTTCGCAGCCATTTCATTCCACCTCTTCCACATTTCGCATTTAATGCGCATCGTGGGGGCGTGGTAAAAGAGAAAATTACGATAGTTATTCTCTGCCATGCGTGCCTGTGCACTATTTGGGCCTAGCCCAACGATGCCTCGCATGCATGTATGGCCCAGGCATGGGGCTCCTGTCGGTGTACTAAATTAGGGGTCCCTTAGTACCCCAGACTCGTGCACAGGCAGTTGCAACCCTCCGTATGGCAAAGCCTTGCCGGAGGATAAATCGACCCAAGCCTCACACTCGGACACCAAGACCGTGAAGAAGATCTCCAGGTAGGTGATCGAGAAGTACTAAGTTAGTACTGAAGATCAAGATTCCAATTGCCGGCAAGCTCCGCACTGGCAAGCCACGACCCAGCAAGCTCCTTGCTGGGAAGTTCCCCCTTCACACTTTTTGACCACTCCACCTCATCGACCAGCTGATGGCTTGTCAAGATTAGGTGTCGAGCGGACGAGCGACTTGGGAAGGATCATCAGGCCGCGTGTCAACACATCGCATGCAGATCAACTTTATTGACACTTGTCTAGTGGACGTGTCAAGAAGATAGGCTCGTCCACGTCGACAACACAGAAGGAGAGACGCCTTTTGCCAAAGGATTGCTATCAGTTCACGACGCATTAAATGCCCTTGTCATGGTCCGGCAGGATTATGTTGGATATCATTGAGACCACTATTCACAAGATGTAATGACCGTATTGCCACTGTGGTGACCCCTTTTTGTCTATAAAAGAAGGCCCATGGCTACCTTGGTATAGGTCGACACTTTGCTCACGCTTACACCGTAGATGCACCTTGCTCGCGTTTTAACAACAAGTTGCGCTTGTAACTTGAGCCCCAAGTCAAACCACCCAAAGGCAGGAGTAGGCTTTTACGCCTCCACGGCGGCCCGAATCTCGCGCGTGTACTATTGGTTTTGCTCTCCGTGCTCGTCGATCTTGTAAGCCGAACTGCAAAGGGGCCTCGCTGGTCCCATAGATCGTCGTCGTACTTCTGACACCCGAAGATGGGGAAGATGCGGCAGTGCAGTCGTAGACAGAGAGGAGTACAACATGGGGCTGCAGTCGACGGAGAATAACAGGAGGGGTGGATGGGTGGAGGGATGGTCTGGCCGGCAGTAGGGTAGCGCTTCGCAGCGAGGCATGCAAAGCAGCACCGCTGGCCACCAAAGGCGGGAGCAGGAGGCCCCGTCGGTGCTAGAGGAAGAAGACGAGAGATTGAAGATGCATGTCGATCGTTGGATGACAACGCCTTCCGCAGGCTTCGAGATATTGACCCACATGTCAGCCTCCTTGCGTGCGAAGATATAAATGATGGGTCCTATCAAGGGAGGAATACATTTCTTTTTTCCCGTAATAAGGAGGCATTTTCTTGCGTGCAAAGATGTAGCTGCTAGACCCCAATAGATATATAAACAATATGAACAACTCTTACAGAATCAAGTGAACAAGTTAATAACTTGTGCAGTTTAGGCATGGTAACTTTTTATCCAAAAAAATCATTAAAACATACCAACCTGGGCTCTAGTTTCGAAGGTCTAATCATGACTATATGTGAAAATGATTGACGGTATGTGAAAATGATTTTTGAATCGAAACAACAGTTTGAGCTATAAAACATTTTAAATTTTAAATTTCAATTAAATCTTTGCTGACATAAACAATTTCTAAGAGTTAAACCCTGCATTCGTCATGCGCACATTGACCAAAACTTCAAGGAATCAGGTTTGATGTTACACATTTGTCATGCGTAATGCCTCTCGGATCAATATCTGATGTGAATATAACGAAGCATAAAACAAACTTACTAGAAAATAGTCCACTTATTGAAATAGGAATCAGGTATAACAGTACCCGATTCCAACACAAAGACAATCAGTATCTAGTCAACGAAACATTTCATGAGGCCATGCCGCCCATGTCACCTTCGTCAAGATAGAAGCAGCCTCAAAATTTGTTTGATGGATGGCGTGTCCGTTTAGCTTGGCTTTGAAGGAACAAGTGTCTTCAATGTTACCGTTGGAGCATCTGTGACCAAGCATGAACTTCAAATGCAACATAGTATTTACTGTGACAGCAATCACAAACCTCCTTGCACCACACCAGTCGCCAGCGGAGCCATGAAAAAGCTGAAATTCATGTTCCTCCACAACAGAAACAATGGAACTGAGGGATAGATCAAAATCACCATGTGCTTCTGATATGATAACTTCTACAGTGGCCGCAATTGCATTACTCACAAGTGCAGCAGACATCTCAACTGTAGCACAATTACCATTAATGGGAATTTCAGTTGGTTCCCATGGCATTAATAGTCCACGAAATTCCGACATTCCATCAATCAACTGTGTGTCATCTCCTTTGTTTTCTCCGTTCTTGATTCTCATGTCAAACTCAAGTAGAACATCACAGTGAAATGCAATGCCTCTCTTAGGTCCGGTCATTTGAATGAGAGAACCCTGTAAAACTATTGCTGTTAGTACTTCATATAACAAAAAAACCAAAGCTAATACTTATCTTGCAAATGATGCCAACAAATAGAAAAAAACAAGCAAATTAGGAGTTTTACACACAAACTCAAAACTTTTTTTTTATACAGGAAGGCCTTCATGGCTTGCTTTATTAACTTTAAATAACGCTTACATCATCCGCTAAAAATATAGAAATAAAATCAGGGGGTGCATCTACCCACAAGGATGGATTGTTTGCACGACCCCACTTTGCTAGCTCATGAGCAACTACATTCGACTCTATTACAATGCTCAATAGAAACCTACTCGATTTCTCTAAGTAACATTCTGCAGCACTCGAGGAGAGGAGCTGCCTCCGTAGAATGACCTTCGTTGTGCCTCAAAGCTTCCACCACGGTGACATTGTCCATTCTTACCAGGACATTGTTGCTTCCAATACTTCGAATAAGTTCACTAAACAGACCATAGTAAAATCAAAACGCACTTTCAGGTCTAAAATATCCATTAGGTTATTAGACATAATCGGTTTACGTGGTGGTGCTCGGCGCATCAGCAAAAGGCAGGTCCATGAGGCACTAACTTATATGAAATATAATTTAGCTAATATGGGCAATCCAGAGGATCTAGGATTGCAGGGTATGAATAGGGTGGGCATAACAAGTTAATCTGGTCTTCGGTTCTTCGGTTGCATTATGGTAGACCTGGTATAATATGGGTCATCTCGGTCCTACGGTGAGGTTACTCAATTTATCCGAAGTAACAACCTCTATGGGCCAAACCACCTAACTCCGTAACTCCCCAAGGCCCAAGTAAATGCTGCCATGTCCGAGCCCAAGGCGCTAGGGCCTAGGGCTACTCATCTGAACATTCATCGCCCATGGCTGGCGATCTCTCGGCCACTCCTGTAGTTTGCAATTGCAAACCCTACAAGGTAGCAGCCACGCGTCGACTCATCTTCCTGAAGGCAACTCAGCAGCGACAACCTGCAGTTATGACCTGCGAGTCTGCCATGCAATGGACGCCAGCATGAACAGACTAATTCTTCAAGTCAAAGGCTATTTTGAAGGGGTGAAACTGGGCCGCTCCAGGCACAGTAACAGCAATAGCACAACGAAACCTTAAGCTGCCCGGTACGCCCACCGTTATGACCACCAACACAATAATCTGTCTGTTACTTTTACCCCATGTATTACAACACTATCCAAGCATCTATTACTGGAAGACGATTAGGAGTTTGTAGTATGCCATCAGAAGTACTCCCTCCCTGAAATGTATGGCGCACTTGATTTTTACAGTCTTCAATGTACGAGATTGACTAAGATTTTTGCTTATAATATGTCTGTGAAGTTAGTGTAAGGACATATGGCATAAAAATAACGTTTAAGATGAATGCAAGATGCCATCCAAGTATGTCCATTCCATGTATGTTGGTAGAAATTACCGGTCAAAGTCAGAATCAAAGATAGTGAAAAGTCAAGCATGCCTTGACTTTGGGAAAAGGGAGTACATCAGTTTCGATCTCATTATTCTCTGGATGCAATGTACAATGGCTGCAGCAAAAGTATTGATATTCACCTGTTGCACGACGATGGGATCTTCTCTGCTACGATTGAAAAGATAATTAAGCCTTAAATCATATTCATCTCGTGCCGCGATGTATCCATATAACTGCATTGAGCCACTGTTGATAGGAGATTTAGCTAACTTTAAGGAGAAAATCTGCATCATTTCACATGTCATATCGTCCCAAGATGCTGGCTCCAGCTGAGCTTCACCAACGATATTATATTGCTGTTGTTAGTTAATATGCAATTGATAAATGAATACTATAAGGAACTTGCGTTGTGCAGCACATATTTAAAGGCCTGCAAATGGGTAACAACTGCCTATTCAAATCCATACACAAACTATTTAGGTAGGTATGAGTATGAAATAACACCCAAAGAATTCAGGTATGGGCAGGATAATACAAACTTAAAAAAAATTATCCACACACAATTTACCCACATAAACTTAACTTATGAAGCGATAAGGAGCGCTGCGAAGGGGCTAGTATCAGAGCCAACTACTGCTTTGCCATCAATTGCTAGCCTATGGGTTTGTCCCATGACCACCATGGCTTCAACTACAGTGAAGAAAGAGGGAACACCTTCAGCAGCAGTAATGAGGTGTCTAGCAACTGTAGTGGCCAACAACATATTTGTGCAAACTGCGATAAGCAGTATGCATATGGTCACCGCTGCACGCAGCAATTCGACATCGAGGTGGATGACTTTGATGACGACAATGTTACGAGTGTGGCACCCTCTTGCTGTCTCACCCGACGCTTCTGCAACTGGGGCAGTTCAGCCTCATGCAATGGAGGCGGTAATCTTCAGTAGCAGTCACAAAAATGACATGGCCACAACAGGTAGAAGCGGAAGTGCTGCATAAGCTAACAATGATAGGATAGTAGTATAGGATGGGTTACAACCAAAATATCAACAGTCTGCGGAGGCAGTACCCTAGGAATTGTCTAGACAAAACAGCCATTAAACACCTAGAACATGACATGTGCATTGAGCTTGTAACAGATAGTTTTAGTGTCCAGAAATAACTTGATGTGTACTGTAGCACCAACATACTGTACTGCCGACCTACTGTAGCACCAGGGACTATAGCAGAGACCTCGAACTCCTAGAAATAGGGGGGTGCATCTTGTGTAATATCAAGCTTGCAGTGCATCGAAAGATAGAAGATTTTGGCCTTGTGAGGCAGCAAGCCACCAAAACAGCTTGTGTACTTGTGAATGTTGTGAGAAACACAACACACGCGCACACACACACACACACAAGCACAGAGAGAGAGAGAGAGAGAGAGGCTGAGTGATTCAGCTAAGTTTCATTGCTAGTGTTGTGTGCGTGTGTTTGAGAGCGTGTGAAGATCCCAGGGAAGAGAGCAATTGAGTGATTCAAACTCAAACAATTGGTAACAGAGATAGGTGATGACAAAGACGATGACACGTGACACTGCACCGAGTGGAGCCATGGTGACTAGTGGCTTACGCAACCTGGCGACAGCAGCAGCAGGGAGGATTCCGTTCCCGCAGCTAACAAGGACGAACTACGCAGTATGGAAGATGATGATGAAGTACCTCCTGCGAGCAAATGGTGGAGGGGGGTGTGGTTGATCATGACAGCTCATCCAAAGGAGGTTGATGAGAGCAAGGAGGAGCTGGCCTTTACGTGTTGCAGAGGATACCACTTCTGATGTGTGCACAGGCTACAAATCCATGCATGTGGGCGTCGAGCTCGTCCAAGAGGCAAGGATCTATCACTTGCGCCCAGAGTTTAATAGCCTCAAGCTGGCTGATGGAGAGCCTGAGAATGACTTTGCTGCGAAATTCACGATGCTTGTGGGGCATATGCATGAGCTTGGAAACACGATGGAGGAGAAATATGTTGTGAAGAAGTTGCGAGCTGTCTCCAACAAATTCATCCATTTTGCTTCATCAGTTGCGCTATTTAGTGATGTCAACAAGATGGCCATGGAGGATATTGGGTCACTCGACTCAAGGCCTATGAAGAGCTTATCAAGGGGCTAAAGACGAGAGGTGTGGAAGAGCAACTTCTCATGACAAGAGGGCACGACTTGTCACAAGGATGAGGTCATGGTCGTGGACGCGGTGTAGCCCACAAAGATAGGTACAATGACAACTATGATGACTTTGGGCATTGTGCTTCCGAGTGTCCAGAGAAGAAATACAAAGCACTCCTTGCTAAGGCCAGCAATCCTATAAGAGTAGTTGAGGGGAGTGCACGCCCGGCGGTGTGATGCCAATGTCATATGAAGCATCAATATGTGGCCAAAGACGACAGTGGTATTAGTGTTAGAGTATGTAATGGGCCTAATGGGCCCGTTAGTCTTAGGGTTAATTAGAGATAAGGGTCGCTTGCTTAGGGGTCAAGTAAGCCTTGCTTGGGAGTCAAGTAAACCTCTCTATATAAAGAGAGGAGATGTGTCAATCTAATCAAGCAAGAATTAAGAAGGAAATCCCTTCCCTCTTGCCCGGTCGTGGGCAAAAAGACCCCCGGCCGGCCCTCTCGCGCCCTCCTTCTAGCAGCGCCGTCCTCACCTGGGAGGAGGTGTCCGGGGTGCTGCGGGACCTAACCCAGGAGGTCCAGGAGATCCACCTGTTCTTGGCCGGGTCCTACGGGCCGCACCAGGCGGCCTTCGCCGCGCTCGCCTGGCCGCTGCAGCTACCATCCATCGCCACCCCCGCCCAGCCCTGGCTGCAGTGGCAGCCGCCGCTCCTGGCAGCCTCCGCCGTGTCTGGCGCGGCACCGCAGGAGCCGCTGCAGCTGCAGCAGCCACCGCCGGTCAGCTCCGCCGTCCAGTATGGGATGCCCTACGACGGGAGTGCGACGACCTCGTTCCCATCAGCGCCGCCGCCATCTCAAGGTGTCCACATCTAGCAGATCAAGTCCCTGCCGTCGCCGTCGCCGTCACCGCTTCCGTCTTGGATCGCTACCCGCCACGTGTCGACGGCGGTGAGGCTGCAGGCTGCTGCAGGCGGCCTCCTAGCGCGTCGGCGTGTGCGGGAGATGCGTGGTCTGCAGCTGCCGCTCCTCCAAGTTGCCCTTCGCTGCGCAAAGGACCTCGATCTCGTCCGCTGCGTCGGGGATCTTGGGCATGCGGTTTTCCCCGCGGGCAGCGACCTCAAAGTCTGCGACATCGGCGGTTGGGGGGGCGCATCCCTCCTCGTCATTCTCCATCGCAAGCCCTCCACTCTTCCCCGTGCCGTGCAGACCAACAACCATCCATCGGGGAGAAGGCAGGGTGTCACCGACAGGAGCGCACCGCGTAGCAGCATTGCTTTCCGCCGCCGGCCGCCGCAAGGGCGCCTCTACTGGTCGCTCTTGCAACCACTTCCAGGTGGCCATACACATGCACTCCTTTGGTCCAGGTGGTGTCCATGGGATCCAGGTGGCTGTACACGTGCACGTCCAACGTGCGGATGGTGTCCACTTTTTGTTGAGGAGTCCGGTCCATTTCAGGTTGAGAGTCATAAAACAAGCCGAGATGTAAAAGGCTTGTTTTTTAGGTGTTAGGTTTGTGTTGCATCGAGTCATGGTTATAAGTTGGTTAGGCTGCAGCTCGAGGACAAGCTGCATGTCCAGGTGGGGTGTAGTGTTAGAGTACGTAATGGGCATTAGTCTTAGGGTTAATTAAAGATAAGGGTTGCTTGCTTAGGGGTCATGTAAGCCTTGCTTGGGAGTCAAGTAAACCTCTCTATATAAAGAGAGGAGATGTATCAATCTAATCAAGCAAGAATTAAGAAGGAAAACCCTTCCCTCTTGCCCGACCGTGGGCAAAAAAGGCCCCCGGCCGGCCCTCTCGCGCCCTCCTTCTAGCAGTGCCATAACAATTTAGTGTTAAGAGTATGTAATGGGCCTAATGGGCCCGTTAGTCTTAGGGTTAATTAGAGATAAGGGTCACTTGCTTAGGGGTCAAGTAAGCCTTGCTTGGGAGTCAAGTAAACCTCTCTATATAAAGAGAGATGATGTATCAATCTAATCAAAGCAAGAATTAAGAAGGAAATCCCTTCCCTCTTGCCCGGCCGTGGGCAAAAAGACCCCCGGCCGGCCCTCTCGCGCCCTCCTTCTAGCAGCGCCATAACAATTTGGTATCAGATAGCTTAGTTCCGATCATGTCTTCGCCGCCGCCCACCCCGTCGCTTCCGCTGCCGACCGTCACCACCGCGCCGCTGGACATCTACACCGCACCGCTGCCCTCCCCGTCCGCGCCGCTGGTCGCATCCTCCGGCGCCGCCACCGCACCACCGGCCGCCGCCTACACCCCGGAAGAGATCACCGGGGTCCTCAACGACCTCGTCACAGCCGTCCAGGGGATCCGGCTGTACCTGGCCAGCCCCTACGGGCCGCCGCCGCCCCTGCCGCCGACCGTCGCCATCGGGCCGCCAGCCCTGCCGTGGTACTCGCCGCATCCAAGGGCCTCCGCGGCGTTCGCTGGGACACTGCAGCTGCCGCCGCTACCCGCAGTGGCCGCAGTGGCCGACGCCGGCTCCCTCCGCGCCTCCAGCGCCCATCGCCGCCGCCGTGGCTGCCGCCGCCGCACCAGGCGGCCTTCGCCGCGCTCGTCGGGCCACTACAGCAGCCGCTGCAGCTGCCATCCATCACCACCACCGCCCAACCCTGGCTGCAGTGGCAGCCGCCGCTCCTGGCGGCCTCCGCCGCGCCTGGCGCTCCGCCACAGCAGTCGCTGCCGCTGCAGCAGCCACCGCCGGACAGCTCCGGCCCCGCATCGACCACGCCGGCGGGAGTCCCGCTCCACCAAGTCCAGTCCCCGCCGTCGTTGTCATCGCTTCCTTCTTGGATTGCTACCCGCCACGTGTCGGCGGCGGTGAGGCTGCAGGCTGCTGCGCGCGGCCTCCTAGCGCGTCGGCGTGTGCGGGAGATGCATGGTCTACAGGTGCCGCTCCTCCAAGTTGCCCTTCGCTGCGCAGAGGACCTCGATCTCATCCGCTGGGTCGGGGATCTTGGGCATGCGGTTTCCCCCAAGGGCGGCGGGCCTACTGTTTTCCCCGCGGGCACCAACCTCAAAGTCTGCGACATCGGCGGTTGGGGGGGCGCACCCCTCCTCGTCATTCTCCATCGCAAGCCCTCCACTCTTCCCAGTGCGGTGCATACCAACAATCGTCCGGTAGGGAGAAGGCATGGTGTCACCGACAGCAGCGCACCGCGTAACACCACTGCATTCCGCTACCGGCCGCCGCGAGGGCGCCTCTGCTGGTCACTCTTGCGACCACTTCCAGGTGGTCATACAGATGCACTCCTTTTGTCCAGGTGGTGTCCATGGGATCCAGGTGGCTGTACACGTGCACGTCAGACGTGCAGATGGTGTCCACTTTTGGGTTAAGGGGTCCAAAATAAAGCGTCCCAGTCCATATCAGGTTGAGAATAATAAAACAAGCCGAGATGTAAAAGGCTTGTTTTTAGGTGTTAGGTTTGTGTTGCGTCGAGTCATGGTTATAAGTTGGTTAGGCTGCAGCTCGGGGACAAGCTGCATGTGCAGGTGGGGTGTAGTGTTAGAGTATGTAATGGGCCTAATGGGCCCGTTAGTCTTAGGGTTAATTAGAGATAAGGGTCGCTTGCTTAGGGGTCAAGTAAGCCTTGCTTGGGAGTCAAGTAAACCTCTCTATGTAAAGAGAGGAGATGTATCAATCTAATCAAGCAAGAATTAAGAAGGAAATCCCTTTCCTCTTGCCCGGCCGTGGGTAGAAAGGCCCCCGGCCGGCCCTCTCGCGCCCTCCTTCTAGAAGCGCCATAACAGTTAGCCATCGTCAGGAAGAGTTAGTGTGATACCTACAATGATGGTGTGATGCCATCATTTCAGAAGGGTCGGTGAGATGCTCAAAACAATGGTGTGATGCCATTGTCACAAGAAATATCAGTGTGATGTTCTTAGATAGTCGGTGTGTGATGTCGTCACTAGCCATGAGGCGGTACAAAGCCATCAGGAGATGGGCGCATGATGTTGATGGTGTTGATATGACAAGATTAATGGGGGAGAGAGTAGATACACAAGGATAGGACACAGAATGTTAGGATAATCCTTGCATCCTATAGCGTAGTAGTATAGGACGGTTTACAACCAAAATATCAACAATCGGTAGTCGATACACAAGAGGAATTGTCTAGATGAAATAACCATGTAACACCTAGAGCATGAGTTGTTCATTGAGTTGTAATAGCTAGTTGTAGTCTCCACAACAAACTTGATGTGTATGGTAGCATCGCCCTAGTGTCTACTGTAGCACCAGCGACTATAGGACTGACCTAGAAGTCCTATAAGCAGGAGGGTGCATCATGTGTAATATCAAGCTTGTAGTGCATCAAAACAGAAAAGATTTTGGTTCTGTGAAGCTACAAGTCACCAAAACAGCTTGTGCAGTTGCGCATGTTGTGAGAAACAGGACTGGTGACCGAACCGGTGAGCCCCTCAGTTCAGGTTTTACTGGTCGGACCGGTCTACCGGTTCATCGGCTTGTTTTTTAGGCTGTAAATAATATGTATTGTTTACTAATACCATAGTAAGAAAAGATAAGATACTTTCAGTTTCTTCTACAGTACAATAAAGTTGGTTGGGCGAGATGGTTATTGGGCCAAACCTGAGGGCCGGTCTCTGTTCATATAGACCTAGGTTCAAATGATACACACTAATTTCCTATTTATGCGTGTTTGTTGGTTCGACCTCCCGGTTTTTAGCCCCAAATCACAAAAAGAGTCCGATCAGTCCGGCCCAGTGGCAGAATGGTCCAATGATCTTAAGAAACAGCCAAGATCGCCATTTTCGGTTTTTCCCGATTCCGCTCTGACAGCCGGTCCGGTCCGGTTTCCAAGACAATGAGTTGCGTGATTCAGCTAAGCTTCATTGCTAGTGTTATGTGTGTGTTAGTGTGAAGAATATCTCAGGGAAGAGAGGCGTTGAGAGATTCAACTCCAACATCCGTTAAGCTTCTACGTAGTTAAGGGCCCTGTAGTTAGGCGACGCAACGCTTCAGAAATGGTAGCAACTTCTACCACAGCTTCGTCTGTGCAAGTTAGGGGGCGTCAGCCCTAGTCATCAAATAATTGATATAATTATGTTCGATAGTGAAATTAGATAAGAGTTTTCAATTTTTCATTGCCATGTTATCCACCCCTGCATGTATAAGGAAGGGTGTGCACTCATCTATGATAGACCAAATAATCAATAAAAAAGTCCAGTCACCTCCACTAACCCCGTTATCTCCCTCCTCTCTCAAGCCGAGTCTCCTCTATCATATAATCTATCAACCATTACAAAGGCAATAAGTACAGAATGGTTGTAGACTAATCCCTTCTATAAACGGCAACCATTGGAAGGACATCAGTTAAAACTGAACTAGCAAATATGTTATATTAGCAGGAACTTGATGTGGAATTCCGTTTGTCATTTGGGTGGATCCTTAGCTTTTAACTTTAGTGTTACTCACTAGCTCGCGACAGTCCAATTACTAAAGTTGACAACAACATTCGGGTGACATAACTAAAGTTAACACAGGGATGCAACTACTACAAAGGTGTCCATTTGGTTAGAAGGCTCCCCACTCGTAAGGGGTATGGCTTGAGAAAATGCTAGACGTTTGTCAATGTGCTCCACCTTAGGTAGTGATGACCTTGACAACTGATATTACTGCAATCACTAGGTGTCAATGTTATTTAGTGCCCTTCACGCCTCGTAATCCAAAGAATTAGAGGTGTCGTGGTATAGACTCACCACAACATTGTGAAGTCTTCTAGCACTATAGAAGCACTAGGTGTTAACTTGGCATTTGATGACTAGGCAACACCTAGGGCTTCCGTGCAATAATAGCAACTTGGAGCACAAAGGAAGGAAGCAGATGTAAAATACTCCCTCTGTAAACAAATCTAAGACGTTTACAGAGGGAGTATAGTAAATAACAAAGAAAGGAGGCCCATTAACCTTCGGTTTTATTTGCATGTCTCCAACAATGGAGACAAGCAGAAGCAACTATCAGCAACTCTGAATATGTTCGACCACCCCATCTTCTCATCTCACCCCCAGGGTGAAGACCCAGGGTACCCAACGAAGGGCAGGGCCAACTGGAATAAACTCCAGCATAACAGTAAAGAATAATGCAAACATTACCTCAAGTTTTTAAGTACATAATATATCAATGGGATTACTGCTGCCAAATGTCCTAGGAATGGATAAAACAAATAAAAATAGGAAAAGAGATTCAGATAACATACTTTCTGTGCGGTCGTCAACATCTACACAGTATTCACTTTCCCATTCAAGCCTTTTCTTGTATATAGTACCATCACGGTGGCTGCTACCCGGGATGATTGGCTGGTAATACACATCTTGTATTGCACTTGTCTCTACCATGGGATTGCTCTCCTCTGCTGCCTTCATCCTCTCTGCTTTATCCATGCCTCGTGTAGTAGCAGAACAGAAGGAGAGGCACGGCAAATCCAGCTTGCTATGCTTCTCACTTCCAGGGTCCAAAGGTAAGCATAAAAGGTCATTCTTAGCATCCGACTCAAATAAGATGTATGCTATTATAGGCAGCATTAAAATGGTAGTTTTAATTTTAGTACCAACAAAAATCAATTCCCTTTTCTTTCTACGGTGGGGTGCCGCATGAAGTAAAAACGATCATATTTTACTTGCCTTCCGAGTAAGTTTTTTTTCAATTTTCCGAATAAGA